ACCAGGACATGGTGACCCCTGAGGTTTAACAGAAATGCTTTCAGGGCCAAACCAACTGCTTTCATTTCCAGACAGTTGATATGTAAGCTCTGCTCCATGCTCGACCAGAGGCCAGAGGCAGGCTTGCCCTCGTGCAGCGCTCCCCAACCCAGGTTGGATGCGTCTGTAAAAACCACCTTCCTCCTGGAAACTACCCCCATGGTCACCCCCTTGTGGTACCAGTCCTGAGCCCGCCAGGGAATCAGTGCTCTTAAACACCCGTGATTCACCATAATGCGCAGGCTGCCTGACTGCCATGCATGGGTTGGCACACGGCGTTTCAGCCAGTGCTGCAGCGGGCGCATGCGCAGTAATCCCATGTGGAGTACTGATGATGCGGCTGCCATTAGACCAAGCAGTTTCTGAAACCTCTTCAGAGGCGCGTGCTCGCGCGCCCTGAATGCGGCTGCCAGTGTCTGCACAGAGAGCGCGCGCTCCTGAGTGAGCCGCGCTTTCATTGTCACCGAGTCTAAAACCGTTCCCAGAAAGACCACAGTCTGGCTGGGGTTCAGTTCGCTTTTGGCAACATTGATTGTGAGACCCAGGCATTTTAAATGGCCGAGAATCAAATCCCTGTGAACTATTAGTTCGTCTCTCGACTGCGCTAGCACCAGCCAGTCGTCGAGATAATTCAGCACACGCACACCCTGGCTTTTTAGCGGGGAAAGCGCTGCATCCATACATTTCGTGAATGTACGGGGTGCCAGACACAGACCGAACGGCAGAACGGTGTATTGATATGCCCTCCCCTCGAAGGCGAATCTCAAGAATGGCCTGTGACGAGGGTCGATCTGAATATGAAAGTATGCATCTTTCAGATCCATTGAAACAAACCAATCCCCCGGGCGAACTTGCGCGAGAATTTGTTTGAGTGTTAACATTCTGAACGGCCGTCTCATGAGAGCCCTGTTCAAACGTCTCAGATCTAGTATGGGTCTGAGCCCGCCGTCTTTCTTTGGAATTAGAAAATAGCGGCTGTAAAACCCCGAATACATTAGCGCGGGAGGGACTGACTCTATCGCTCCTTTTGCTAATAAATTCTGAACTTCGGTGCGAAGCACGTGACCCACGCCGCTTCTCACCGATGTCTCGATAACCGCATGGAATTTCGGGGGCCTGCGAGCGAATTGGAGCGAGTAGCCTCGCTTTATAGTGTTTATGACCCAACTCGACACACCGGGGATGGCTTGCCAGGCCATCACCCGTGTGGCTAGGGCTTGACACACTGAATGGGGGGGACCGCCTAACATAGGGGTACCTGATACCCTTACACTGTGATTTGTGCACATACTGAGTGTTTGACTGATTATACCGGCTTTTGCCCGGGGGGATTTCAGTCTTACAACAGGGCGGGGGCCGCCTAGTGAAGGGGGACCGTGAACCCGTGTGATGTGATTGTGAAACATACTCTTTTTGTGCTTTATTTGGGTCGCCGTGAAAACGGCGTTTGTTTGCAAAGACGCGCTCACTGCTGCGGGCCTGTTTACAATAATAAAATCCCCAGCCGCCTGAACTGAACAGGGAGCTGTGGGAAGTTTTGCCAGCTTTTTCGAGGGTGGTCCGGCTAGCGCGAGACACGAGCCCTCTCTCTTTCCTCTCCGTGCTAGGACGACTTCGGAGGCACCTGGTCGGCCGCGGCGCTGGGTCGAGGGCCTTGACGCCTGGGGAGCGGGTAGCGCTTTGCGGGCCTTAGCTGGCGTTGGCTATCAGCCGCAGGGCGGGGCTGAGAGGCCTGTTTCACCAGCTTGGCTGGATGAGGCGAAGGCGGCGGCTTGGGCTTGCTGGTCGCGGAGCTCGACCGTTTCGGCAAGAAGTGTCGCATGGCCTGGGACGCTTTCTGTGCCTCTGTGTACCTCTCCGAGAATCCTTTCACCGCCGGGCCGAAGAGACCGGAGCTGGACACCGGGGCGTCGAGAAACCTCGTTCTGTCGGCGTCCTTGATCTCAGTGAGGTTAAGCCAAAGATGGCGCTCGAGCACGACCAAGCTCGCCATGTTTCTTCCGATGGCCTGTGCTGTAGCCTTAGTAGCACGCAGCGCTAAGTCTGTAGCACTCCTCAGGTCTCGAAAGGTCTCCGGGTCCGGGCCAGACTCGTCCATGGACCGGAGGAGTTTGGCCTGGTAGACCTGCAACACGGCCATCGTGTGCAGGGCCGATGCAGCCTGACCGGAGGCGGAGTACGCGCGTCCAGCGAGGGCTGAGGTGTTTCGGCAGGGTTTGTTGGGATGAGCGGCTCTAGCTCGCCAGCTAGCTGCAGTGCTCGGGCAAAGATGAGCTGCCACGGCCTCTTCGAGGGGCGGCAAAGACTCATAACCCTTTTCCGCTGCGCCATCCACGGAGGAGAGCGTCGCGGAAACTGCAGAACCCACACGTGCTGAGTAAGGAGCGCGCCAGGCCTTGGTTAGCTCCTCGTGGACCTCGGGGAAAAATGGCGCCGGTTTGTGACGCGGGGCCTGCTGGCGCCCCTCCAGAAACCATCCATCCAGTCGACTACGAGGCGGCTCCTCGGGCGAGGCCCACTCTAGCTCGAGGTCCGCGACGGCCTTCGTCAGGATCCGAAGCATTTCGGCGTCGGAGTTCGTCCTGGTCGCTAATCCACTGGCCACGGATTGAGAAGCGGTGACGGGGTCGAGAGAGCCCGGCCATTCGTCCTCAGAAGCGGCGATGGATATGCTGTCGTCGCGCTCGAGAGATCCGCCGAAGGAGACGAGGCCCGCCACGTGTGGGGGGGGGCGTTGGTCTCCTGTGAACAGGACCGGTGATGGCGTTTGAGTCGGAGAAAGTGAAGCACGCGGGGACGCGGCCGGCGTGCGTTCACAAATCTCCATACCCTCCGGTTGCCGTTGGCTGCGACGCTTCTTCTTCCTCGGAATGGAAAGCGTGGTTGAAGCGGCATCGCCGTCTCGAGAGAGAGCTAGCCGATTGCGCAGCACGGAGATAGGCATGCAGTCGCAGGCCGCACATCCGCCGGCAGAGAGTGCATTCTCCGCGTGGTCGACACCCAAGCAGGAAATGCAGCTCTCGTGTTGGTCTGCCTCGTGCAGACGGCCTCCGCACGTGGCGCAGGATGAACGAGGCATTCTGAAACAAATCACAATAATATAAAGGATATAGGATGTCGCCGGATAGCCACAGGTGAGACGGCGTCAGGAGACAATCGACGTGCAGGCGAAGTCTGCTGAAGAGAAGCTCGCTCAGGCTGAAAGGCTTGTTCGACGGCGAATTCACAGTAAAAAGCTCAGGGACATGTGTACTGTCGCTGAAGGAGTAAAATCTGCTATAATGGCGAATTCGGGGGTCTTTTATAGGCTAAACCACACCCCCTTGACGGGCTCTGACGTTGAGCTAGCTCATTGGCTGTATGTCAGAGTCGCCCGCGCCATTGGTTGTGCAGTTGCGGCAGCACAGCCTATGAGCGTGCCAGACGCTCAGTGTGCTAGCTGTGCAGCTGCAAATGCGTTTTACATATAGGTTTCAGTAAATCGAGGAAAAGGAGTTTCCCCACTGCGTATAGCTACGCAATACGAAGTGACCGTTCGAAAGGGAACAATCAGAAAGTTGCGCTGTCATTAATGGACTCACTGACTGCCTAAAACATTTGCGAAATCAGAGGTGTAAGGTACAGTGTAAGGTACATTATTACTACAAACAGAAAAAACTTCAGATTACTATATCCTGTTCTTTTGAACTTTCCATTCATAAAAAAAAAAAAAAAAAAAATCAAGAAAAAATATATCCCGTTTCCCTCCAAAAAAAAATTAAGCAGCACAAACATTTTTAGTCAACATATTAGAATGATTTCTGAAAGGAATATAAATTATATAACAAAACTATAATAAAACAGAAGAAAATATAGTATTATTTGTCTTACTGAGCTAATCACAAGTCAAACCATTTCGCTATAAAATTCAAGAAAAAAAATACAACTAATTAAAAACAACTAATTGTTCGATTCTGGAACAAAGGAATCAATTCCAAGACAGATTGAATCTATTAAGCGAATGATTGAAACAATCACCCATATTCTTAAACAAGATGCTCACTCATCACCATCTGGTGCAATGATGTACTGTAACATACACTGAATTGATCAGTGACAGTGAATGAATCTTTTTGATGATCTGAATCAAGTCAATGGGATGAGTCAAAATCCGTGAGGCTCTTATGGAACGTGGAGTAGTACTTCCCTGAGTGGAATCGACTCCCAGTCTCTCAAAATATAAGAATTGATTCTTTTTGGAATAGACTTCAAGCACTAGAAACTGGTCCTTGTAAAGAAACACCTCAACAGCCATTACAACAGAGCTTTTGTTCCTCATAAATTAGTTTAAATTCTTACCAAGATCTCAACTAAAAGGTAAAAACAGTTGATTAGTCTATAAACAACTATTCTCCAACATAAAACAAAAATATAATCAGTTGTGGTTTAAAATTACATTTAATAATTTAATGTAGCCTAACACATTTCCCTGAGTCCTATTGGCTTCCATAGTCAAGACATTGAAAACCTATTAAACATGCTGCTTTACAAAGTTTGTACATAACGTTACTTTAATGAGGAAAACCTCCATTGTCTCTTGTTTTCATGCGCCTAAAGCTAATCAAAAGTTTACTCTTTTTATTTTTATTTTACTTAAGTACAATTTAAAAGTGTTTTTGTGAGATACTTTTAATTGAGTACAAGTTTGGCATACTTAAACTCTAATATTATGTCTCTGTATACAATTTCGCACCTTTTTCTAAAACAGACGGCAGACGTGTTACATCAAAGTCATGCTTATGATCTTGCGCGAACCGAATCGCATACGGTGCTGCGCTCTTCTGTGCCGAGAGCTCACAAACATAAATCAGCATGCATTTGCTGCAACGCATATGTTGCGCGTATCCCACTTGCACCTGTGCTATCAACACTCATGCGACCAATTTTTATGCATTCCGTGGAAATGAAAGCTGATAAGGGCATAAATATATAATGATGTTGCTGTAAAGCTTCAACCTGCTTTTGATCTCAGCTGGGTATCCAATACCTGGGAACTGGGAGCAGAACACATGGACTGGGGCAGGTAAGATTGCCTGCCTTCAAGCTCGGAGATACGGCCACCTGTCACTTGTCCAGTAACACAGCACGCAATCATCCAATTTCAGCCCCACTCACGAAGAAGGTCACCAGCAAAGTGCTCCATGGTTTGCTGAGGGACAGAATCACTCTTACTTATAAAAGCACCCACCTCCAAATCCTTTGACGCGTGCTGTTCCGTCACTGGCACTGCAAAACACTGCACAGCCGATGCACAGATGGCCCTGCAATGACAGGGTTCATTTCAAATTAAAATGACAAATTTGGTAGTTCATAATATGCGCTTACCTTAGCAAGTGTCAGAGACATGGAGAATATGCCAGTCATGCCTCTGAATACCATGTCTGGCCAGATGAGAAAGCGAAACAGAGAGAGAAAAGTCTCTCAAACTAATTCACTAAGTTACGTGCATGCACCATCACATTAAATAATAAAATAAACTCTGTTTCTCACAGTGTGAGGGGGATACAAGCCAAAAATGTGCTGAATTCAATCTGCATGCTGCAGTTCCATTAAAGTCTATCACAATATGGCATGAATTACAGAAACTGCAGAGCATCAGTCACTCCACCACTGCAATCCAAGCACCTGAATCAACTGTTTTAAATGCTGAAAGTGTGCTTGACTGCAGCCAATTTGGATATCTGCCTGGATATAACGCTCTTCTCAATCATTTGATCATTGTTTGATGAACTACTACTGTAGTTCATGGTCAATAGTATATGTTGTCTCGAACATAGTATAATGTTATAAAATGGCAGTATATTTATATATAATAGCCACATTTAAAAAAAAAAATCATTTAAACAAATGTTTAATTTATTATTATTCAATATTTAAACTTATTATTATTATTTTAAACATTTTTTATTTGTTGGTGAGTATTATTATTATCACAATTAAAGCTGCAGTCCGCAGTTTTCCTCTTTGTCGCCATCTCTGTTCGAAATCTGCAATTGCAGTTATTTGCAGAATTATTAACTCTACATGAGTTGTAGTTCGACACCGCACAGCGCGGATGAACACAATGTTTGAGGAGAGTGTATGGCTGTGAGTCACCGCGCCGGTGTGGATCCTGGCATTCGCAACATAATATTTTTCACCGGAAAAAGTCATCTGAACAAGTAAGTAACATCCACTTTTGTTCTGGACAGGGCCGGCGATTGCTATTCTTTCGGTTCACATGACGTCACTGTAGCTTTACGCCGCCATCTTGACGACCGACGGTCTCAGTAATGCCTGCAACATGTTGTGCAGTTGGCTGCAACAGCCGAAAGAGGAACGCCGAACTGGTATTTTATTCTATACCAAAAGAAAAGGATAGAAGAAATGTCTCTCATTGTATTTCTCATATTGTATCATGTCTCATCTTTCTGTGCGCACACACCCGACCCGAAGCGTCCAGCCATAGAGCCCTATATACAGCGCGCGAGTAATGAATTGAGCTGTTTCATGTCTGAATGGACAAATACACACAACATCATGTTTAAATGTCCGTTTTGGAGAGTATTCACGTAAAATATGTCAGTCTCAGTCATGTCTTAAACAGAGTTGTCATCCAGTCTCTTTGGTAGAGAGAGAGACGAGGAGAACAAAGCATGCAAATGGAAATTATCGCGGCCGGAAAAATTATCGAGCATATTTTTTTATCGTGCGATTAATTGATTTATTGACTATCGCGACAGGCCTAATCCAGATTAATGACAGCTAGCCGCGAGCCGTGGCTAACAACTGGCAAGCTACCAGCTGAGACTTAACTACCTAACAACTAGCTACCTAGTCAGAGCAAACTACCACCAAAATCATACATTTTAATTTTTTTTTATAATACCAACATTTCCCATAATTAAATATAAATCCTTGGTGGCCTCTTACCCATCCAGCAACACCTGATACGCGTCTGTAAGTTACTCTGAAAGCCTTCGCGATCCATGGGGAGGGGTTATGCACAAGATAAATATATATATATCATGGAAGGGAAATTGGGGCAAGTCTGGGGCAGATAATAAAGGACAAAAGAAAACTGGGGGTAACAAATAAGGATCGGATCCTAAAATTAAAATTGTATCCATGTATCTCTCTTTCTCTCTCATTCAAATGGGCAGTTTGGGCGGCCACCGGGCGAGATCGGTCGTCAATATGGCGGCGTTCTATTTCTAGTGACGTAGGTGGCATCTATGAATAGGCGAACTAGGCAGTTGCCTAGAGCGACAAATGTGTTGGGGGCGCGGGCGCCCTCTAGTGTCGCCCTTGGCCTACTTCCCATTAATCATAGAATTAGAATGACAAGCGAAACAAAAACATGTTTATTAAACATGATCATTCTAAGGCGCCCCTCAGCCATACGTTTAATTACTTGTCAACCTGATTATTAGATTGAATGGATGATTATTGTCGATCATTTCCTAAAGGGGCGGCGGGGGTTAGTTGCGTTACGTTACGTTCTATGGTTACGTTAGGCGAGTGCTCGGCTGCTGCGCGCGCTGATCGAAAATGAAGCGGTCTAAACCCTCTGGTGCACAGGGACGCAAACGGAGAAAGCAACAAGATAAAAATAAAGCCCAGTATAGAGGTAAGTCTTCTCATCTCATCCATTAAGGTGTCAAATGTTCTGGCCATCGGGACAACCGGGAGATTCCCGCGGGCCCGACGTGCTTTTTGGGCCGATACATAGGGGCTGTTTACACCTGGCCACTTCATGCGTTTTCTCAGATCGGATAGCTATCTGATTTATCAAAACGATTCCATTTACACCTGGTCACATAAATGTGTTTTTGCAAAACGGATATAAATCCGATCTTCAATTCCCGCGCTATAAGCAGATTTAATGGAGTGCACGTCACCGAAAGCAACAGATAAGCGCTGCATTTTATTGATCATCAGCTAATTTCAAAATCAAAGACCGCAATAAGAGAGAGCGGCAACAGCCCTGGTAAGATCATTTCGTTTCTTTACTTTTAATGAAGGTGATTAGTGTGTTAAGCGTCTGCGACTTACTTTCACTTTGATTTGCGATAGTTTGCACGTTGGCTTGATGAAGAGATCGATGCTCAGCTGCTCCTCTGCGGTAATGCGTGTTGCAGTAGCGACGTCATATCTGACTATAACATGACATATAGCCTATAACACGCTCTCACACGTTTATTTTTTAGGATTTTTGGGAGGAGTAAAATTTACATATGTGGTTTCAACAACCAGATGCATTTACACTTGTCCAGTTTCATCTGGAATGCGGCCCAGACCACCTCCTGAAGTGGTTTGAGCGATCGGATTTAAATCCGTCTCGAATGCGTTTCAGAGGGCATTTACACCTGGTCTTTTCACGATCCGATCACAGAAAACGCATGAAGTGGCCAGGTGTAAACAGCCCCAAAGGCTACATCTCATACTTTTATTTTTCTATTTTTGTCTTAACAAGCCCATAAAACTCGTACATCGGTGGCCCATTCGTTTGGTTTTGTTTTGCTTAATTGGCGGCGCTGGGTTACTTTTCCAAACATATAACTTACTTTCAAGTATAGAAATTTGTACAATACTAATGAAAGTTTCCTTTATTTTTCAGTGCATTTGTTTTACAATATAGCCTATGGCAATTACTGTCATGGGATTAATATTATATCTATTATTATGTAGTAGTGTAATGTAGACAGACACTGTAATTAAAAGAGGTTTGAATTTTTCTTTGTTCAATTTGCACACTGAATATGGGTTGGAGCTTTTAATTTTGAACTCTCAAAGTGCACCAGATTGATGAATTTAACATTAAAATGCACAAAATTTTCTTACGGGGAAATACCCCAGAAACCCCCTTAACCTTAACCTTGGAGCAGAGCAGCCCAATAGATTGTAATAATAGTAGGCCTAGTGGTAGTAGTTGTAATTTATCTACTAAAAGTTATTTATGGTCAGATAAAATATAGTTGTTCAATGCAACTATTGGCGCTTTTCCACTACACAGTACCAGCTCGCCTCGGCTCGGCTCGGCTCGACTCGACTCGCCTTTGTTTGGTTTTCCACTGTGTAAAAGTTGTACCTGTACCTGCTTTCGGGTACTTTTTTTCGTACCACCTCCGGCGAGGTTCCAAGCGAGCTGAGGCGAGCTAACCCGATACTAAAATGTGACGTGAAAACAATGCCGACTGCTGATTGGTCACAGAGAATCTGCGTCATCATTGCACGCGCCAGATGGAGTATTTTAAATAGTTTGGCCAGAGATAGTTACTAAACTTACTACTATTGTTATGGCAACTCGGAAGAATACGCCGTGGTCAAACGAGGAGGTGCAGACATTCCTTTGTTTGGTTGCCGAAGAGAGGATCCAGCGAGAGCTTGATGGGGCAACGAGGAACGAAATGCGTCGCTATGACGACCGGGTACTATTTGTGGCGGTACTTTCTGCAATGGAAAACGGAGCGAAAAGCGAGCCGAGTCGAGGCGAGCCAAGGCGAGTCGAGTCGAGTCGAGCTGGTACTGGTAATGGAAAAGCGCCATATGATAATATCCTTGAACGTTCTTTGTAGCATTTGTATGAACAATTTATTGTTTAAGTTTTTGAGTAACTATAAGAGCATGTTTAGTTTAATAAATACTTATAATTTTTTAAAGGGGGGGGGGGGGGGCGATATTAAAACTCAATATCGCCTAGGGCAACCAAAGGGTTAGAGCCGGCCCTGGTTCTGGATCTGACATTGCAGTAAATCTTGCTGATTAAATAAAAAAATCGCTTATCATACGGAAAATTATACTTTGTTCTCAAATTGTTAATGTTAACAACGTCAGCATTGCGTGACTACATGTAATGTCCTTCCGATATGTATCCTTGTTTTCGCATGGGGCCGGTTGCAGTCTCTTTTTTTCTGTAAGTTTTCCACTCTGAAGTCCGAACAAAGTCTTTTGCATTTTACAACGGGTGATTCTCCAGTTGTCACTGGTGATTGTCGTTTGAACCTTTCTGGATCCGCCATCAAATTGATAAGTTTAATTATGTCAAGTGCTGTGAGAAAAGGCTATAAATCTCCACCTCCAGCATCCTCACACGCAATATAGCCTACTAGCCGAGACTCCTTCTTTATGTGTACAGATGTGACGTAATGACGCAAAGACATGCTCGAATTTCCCACGGAAATCCACCAGTACCACTGGAATTAAAAACATTATTAAAAGCTTACCGCTTTGAATCGAGCTAAGGCAAGCAGAATTTTGAACACTGACTGGTTATGTATTT